ATGTATAAACAACAAAGGCTTACTTGGTGCACAGCTTTGGAGACCAATATCCAGTGAGGGCCTTCTTTCTGGGTGAGGACTGAAGAGCCCAGAGGCAGTGGAGGACATCACACGAGACAGCACTATCCTGACACATCACAGATGCACCTTCGAGGTAACTCATTAATCCATCAGTCTGTGAATCCACAAGTGGATTAGTCCATTCATGAAGACAAAGCATAACCTAACCACCTCTTAAAGGCTCCACAAGGTCCCACAACAGCAAGTAAATTTCAACCTGAGTTGAAAAGAAGGAACATGCCTGAACAAGCTCTTACTAACATTACTAGTGAACAGAGAGCACAGAATGTACACAGAGAGTACAGTAAGGGCTGTGGAAGGTTTTAAGAACAATCAAAATGTGTGGGATGAGTGAGGCAATTCCTCTGAACAGCTTCAACACTTAAGAGCCCAGGTGACTTGAGAACACAATGACCTTAGCTGCTAGATCAGTGAGGACACTGGTTTACATGACATACAATATTACAATAGCCCTTCCACTACAACCCAGTTTCCTTCCCTTCAACCATCTCAGTCCAGCCTTGCCCCACATCTCTAAAGTGACAGCTGCCATCTGTCTATGCTCCACACACTATCAGATCCCACTGACTAAGTTCATCCTTTTCTGACTTATCACCTAAATGGTGATCTTTGCTTATTCAGAAGAACTACTTTCTATCATGTCTTTCCCCATACCCTCATCTATGGTAGCAGCCCTCAAGCTACTACACTGGGGACACCTGATGGAATTAAGAAAACACATACTGCACTAGAATGCTCCGAACACAGGATCCATCATAGGCACTTATCCCCACCTGACAGTGTTTGTTTGTTGGCTTGTGGCCAGGCAATTTGCTTTCTGCTTTTGGTTGGAGTAGGGTCAACAGAGGGCCACATGCAGTCTAGTGACTGAGCAAGATCTGGACATTCATTCTCTTGGCTCTTCCTTGTGTCACTGTAAGCTAGCAGTATACTCCAAATGAAGGTCACAAAGCAGCTCTGTGTACTCATCTCTCCTTCTGGGTTTTGGTCACCAAGATTAACCTCTCTTATCCTCTCAGGGTGAGGGTGATCATTCTTTCATTCCTAGACTCAAGTTAAGACAATCCTTTATGATTCTATTAATCTTACCTTCCTGTACATAAATAATGTTCTTATTAACCCCCTCCCCTTAGAATTATCCTAATTTGTGTGTACCATCTGTTTCCTGTGAAGTAAATCCCTATCTATGAATAATGATTTTAATAACTCTCTGAATTCCATTAAAATCTCAACACTCAAATATGGCCATGGGCCAATAGTATCACCATCTCTAGAGCTTAGTAGAAACACACAATTCAGATCCCACTCCAAATCCCCTGGATGGAAATCTGGCTTTTGTTTTTGTTTTTGGTCAGTTGTGGGGCTTCAACTAGGGGCTCTGGGCGCTGTCCCCTGAGCTCTTTTGCTCAAGGCTAGCACTTTACCACTTCAAGCCACAGCACCACTTCTTGTTTTCTGGTGGTTAATTGGAGATAAGTCTCACAGCTGTTCCTGCCTAGGCTGGCTTTGAACCATGATCCTCAGATCTCAGCCTCCTGAGTAGCTAGGTTGTCATTTTTTTAAGGTCTTCTGGTGATTCCTATGCAAGTTAAACTCCTATGCAAGTTAAAATATTCTGAGTTTTACGGAAGGGTACAATAAAAACCAAAGATTTGCCCAGACCAGCTCAAATGATGGGATTTTACAGCTTAGGTATTAAAAGATACAATCTCACCCAGAAATCTAAGAATAAAAGGTTAAGCCTGTTAAACTTTCAAAAACAAGGGATCCCTAATATAAAAGGGATCATTGGACCATTTCAGATGCCAGCCAAATACAGACTGGTCTTGAGACAAGTATCAGCAATTCTCAACAGCAAGACTAGGTAGCAGATTGAAAAAATGTTCACTGGACCAGAGCTAAGAGGATTTTTTACTCAAAAATTTGGAGAAGGCAAGTATGAGTTGTATGCACTGAAACTACACTGGCTGTAGATAAGAGAAGGATTATGAGAAAAGAAAGCTTTAGGACATGACAGTCCTATGGAGAAGTAATCTTTGCTTCTGGATTGTTTAGGGATGTAAACAAAACTAGTAATGGGATTTGGGTTACAGTTTTTAACATCTCTTCAAGAATGTAAAATGACCTTTCCTTCTTTTCGGCCTCTCTCCCTATCACCTTCCTTAGACGCTTGTTATCAAACTTAGGACAACCTAGAATTTTTTCTTATGCCTCCTGGACTTTAGAACTCCAGATCATAGAGATGTGTTTATATCATCCCTAACCACACAAGTCATTATTCCACACATTGATACAAGTCCCCTGAACTGCTGGGTCCCTAGCCACTTACTGTCTTTCTACCGGCATCCTATTCCTTATAGCTCTGCCTGATTTCTATCTGCTGAGATTTTACCCATCATTATGCCCCATGGTCTGTCTCACAATCTGTTTTGCTCACTACCTGTATTTTGGGTTCTGAGAATAAGAACGCTATTTGCTATAGAGCTTTCTGCACTAGTATCCTATAGAGAGAGGCTAAATAAAGGGGCAATTCCTGATTCAGCAAGAACTAGGTAATATGGTCTAAAACGTATCTGCCCTGAGCTGTCTGATCAGCAGGGACTGTGGAAGAAAATCATACTGTGATTATATGTCTAGTTAAAATGGTTTTAAAAGATTTCGCATCCTGGTTTCAGGCCCTCTCCTCTCTCCTCTCCACCATCAGCTCCCAGGAACATCTGTAGCCACTGATAGTCTCAGAGATGAGTTTTCATGTTCAGGGTATTTCAAATGTTGTATAACAAAATTAATTACATTTAATTAAACTTATCCATTTTTTATAGCCCCCAAACAAATCTAAATGCCATGTGAAGCTTATGAGATGGCAGTTCTCCAAAGGCTTCTACTGCTGGGTCTATCTATCAGAGAATTATGTAATTTCAGGGATTTTTACACCAGCAAAACTGATGAATGGCCTCCCAGCCTCAGTGAAGCAGCAAAAATTAGTCTCTGGGTCCTAGAGACAACCTATGTCTTCACTTTCTCCTGTATTATCAGCAACACATCCTTCAAACAGCCGCCTTCCTCCTTCTGGGCTACACTTGAATTATCAATCTGTTTTTCTTCCACCTCCCTCCCTGTAAATGGGAGCAAATATGGGGCCTGGTATTTAATAACTTATTTAGCAAAGGATGGTTTTCTCATTGGTTCTACACTTCTCTCACCTTGTATGCTGTTACTGTGAAAAAGTCTCAGTGGGTTTCTTGTCTTACAAGCTTTAGAGGTGACTGTGGAGCCTAAACTACCTTTCTGTCTTCTCATCTTGGGCCCAGACTGAAGGAGTTCTCTCTGGTCCACACCAGCCTAAAATGGATGAAGGAGAGCTGATAGACAACCTCTGCTTAAAACCAGCACCAGATTCCATGTAAACACAGATCCTGTCTCCAAAGAGACAGAGTACAATGGGCCAGCCCTGAGAACAAAGGAGTATTTTTGAATTGAAATGATAAATAATAAACGTATTTCCCATAAAACACAGTATTACTGTTTTCATTACCATCACAACATCAGTGGGGTGCTGAGACTATAATTTTTAAGGAAAAGAATGAGTTGTAATGAATATATGTTGAACAAAGTACAATCTACTATACATTATTATAATAAATATTTTAGGTGGGATTTTAAAGTCAGCAAATCAAAATCCCTTACAACATGTAAGCAGTTAGAATACATTCAATTTCTGGAATAAAATACAATTCAAATTAGCTTATGAACCAAAAGCCTTAAAATATGTTTTTCAGTATTTATATATAGGGAGCTTGGTATTAGTGTCAAAAACAACTGCTCAGGGTAAATTCAATGGTAAATCTTCATATTCTAACAGCTTTATGATCTGTAAAAGTAATCAAGAGCCTAATGAGAAAATTTTACACTTCTAACTTAAACCCCAAATTTCTATAAAATTTCATCTTGTTTTCATCCTATTTCCCATCTACAAAGGTGACAAAAAATGTGCTAAGATGCACCTTTAAAAAAGTCTCTTGATTTATTGCTGTTTATTAATTCCCTAAGCCAATTATAGGGGAGTTGTTACATCTGGCTCTGGGAATAACAAGATGACTGAAGAAATTCCCTGTGAAGACTAGTTAGGGAATGTAGGAGGAGAGGCACACCAGTTGGGAGATCTTCAGTGGTCTAGGTAAGTCCTGATTAGAATTTAAACTCTGACTAAGGCGGAAGTTTTGAGAACAAAAATAATAGGTAAGAGAGTCAGTAAAGAGGAAGAACAAATAGAACCAATCTGGCAGAGTATGAAGAGGAAGAACTTATCAAGTTTCTCCTTTTGATCTTTGTAGGATGTTAACATCACTCATAACATTAAATAGAAAACATTTTTCAGAGGTAAATACAGACTAACTCAGAAAATATCTGACTATAATACTATAGCACTCTTCCTTGGAGTCACGGATGAAACTGCACCTACTGCTGAAAACTATTTTTGCTTGTGCATAGGGTAGGGAAGTAGGAAAAGGATGAATGGTAAAAGAGCATCACAAATCTGTGCTAAAATGAGCTGTTTGTTGTCAAGGTCTAAATTTCTTCAGCATATTCTTTCCATCTGAAGGATCTGATGGTTATTTGTCACACAAAGAAGGCTTCCACTTGCTTTGCTTTGCTCCTCATTAAATATCTGGGGTCTGGGGAGGTACCTAGAGCAGCTGCTGATGGAGCATGCATAGCACCCACAGGCCCCTATGCACTTAATTAAGAGATCATGTTTATTCAATGATCTTGAGAACCAGGTCTTCTAGAGATTTCCTAAGATTGGCAGCAAGGATACTATTTTTGAACAGGCAGGAACTGGACATGCATTCTAATCTCAGGATGCTCTTGAAGGTACTTTCATACCACTAGAGAAAAGAAAATGGTACTACTTTGGTTTATAGGATGTACATTTATTATTTAATATTTATATTAAAAATACTCATTCTTTTTGGGGGCTGGTACATCATACTAAAGTCTCTTTAGAGTATAAAATAAACATCAAAATTAGCCATTTGACAGTAACATCAAAACTTAGTACTATAAGCAAAACAAGAATTTCCAACAATGAAACAAGGGCTCTCGCACTTGCCACTAAAACAAAGGAAACAGGCTGAGGATGTAGCTCAGTAATAGAACACTTGCCCAACATGCGCAAAGTCTTGGGTAGAGTCCCTACTACTCCACAAACAAAACCAAAGAAATGAAGCGGTTCCAATGACATGGGGTAGGAACCCATAGATAAATCCTAACAGAGCACATGCTGAAACTGGGCTTAGGAAGTTTTATAACCCACCCTTATTCTGAGTATGTTCCTTGATGGTGCAAAACAGAACCTATGAAAGGGTCTCAGGTTTCCTTCTGTGGAATCCTTCTGGGTGGAAAATGTGCCCTTTGGGAATGTGTCCCAAAGCTGTTTTCAACTCCATGTCCACACAGTGATGTCCAGAGGTATTGAGGTGCACACAGCACAGGACATATTTAACTTTGATTTTTAAGCAGATGCAACACCAGTTCTTCATCTTCTGCTAAGGAAAGGCCTGTATCCAAAGGCTCTGAGGCTTCCCGCTTGGCCTTCTTTCTATGATGACTTGTTGGTCCCATGTCTTCTGCTTCATTGTTGTTCCTTTTCCTCATTCCTTGCTGTTTCTTGGTATCACTGGTGGGAACAAATCCAATGATGTAATTCACAAATAAAATCATTAGTACGAAATCAAACATTTTAATGGACCAAATAATCAAGAATACCTTTTAAAGTGATATTACCTGAGAAGAAACAGGATACCTGTATCATTCTTAAATATCTTTCAACTCTGTCCCATCCAATCCCCACAAGGATCTTAGGAAGCTATGGATATGCTATCCACAATTTGAACACAGTGAAGATGCCTTTTAGCTGTATTTGGTCTCAGTTTGCTTGTCCTACTAGCCTTTAACTACTAATTCTAATGTCCACTGTATTGGCTTATAATAAAGAGTAAAGCAGAGCCTGAAATGTTAAATTACAAATGATTTTAAACCCCAGGCTAAAGTGCACATAATCTTTTTTTCTTAGGGAGGGAGGAGTGCTTTCTGTTCGGGGTTTTGTGCTGGTTGGCAGGTATTCTACCACTTGAGCCACTCCCAAACCCTCAAAATACATATCCATTCTTAAGAAAGCCACTATTATTGTAGGATTCAGAACATAGCCAGTATACAGACCATAAGAACAAAGCTATTTTTTGAAAGGTGAAGAAAGCAGCTGAGAAATTTTTAAAGAAAAAAAAAACAAACAGCAGGCTGGGAAGGTGGCTCAGTGGTAGAGTGCTTGCTTTGCATGTATGAGGCCCTGGGTTCAGTTCTTTAGCACCACATAAACAGAAAAAGTCAAAAGTGATGCTGTGGCTTAGGTGGTAGAGCGCTAGCCTTGAGCTGAAGAGCTGAGGGACAGTGCCCAGGCCCAGAGTTCAAGCCTCACAATCAACAAAAGACAAAAAGAAAAAGAAAATCAACATACTCTCAGTAGTCTGAGATACTATGTTCAAAATGATGCAACTAGTGGGGATGAAGCAAAATGGTAGCTGACTGGGATTCTCCAGCAATCTCTCCTCACAAATGCTCCGAAGTATAAGCACAGGTGCTAAGGAAATCATTTCACAATAACTCATTATAGTAAACAGAGGGGGTTTTTTGGTAAGCCTGGTAATAACTACAGAGCAAAAAAAATATAACTGGACAACCCAAAATATATAAGCAAGGAATAGAGTAGACCCAATTAAGAGACAGAATGAATAGATTTAAGGTTTTTTTTTTTAAATCAACTATATGTTGTTTATAAGATAATCACTTCATCTCTAAGGAAACACACATAGACTAAAAGTGAATGAGTAATATAAGATATTCTAACCAAAAGGAAATAGAAAGAAAGCAGGAGTAGCCATGCTAATATTGAAAAAATAAAGTTCAAGGCAAACAGTAGTAAAAGGAGACCAGGAGGTAATTATCATAAAGATAATCATAAAGAGCAGATTCAGCAAGAGGCTAGAGAGACAAGAGATAATTCAGATAGCTATAGACAGATAGATAGGTTAATGACCATACATGGGATTCAAGCCAAGCTATGAATGATTCTGAATCTAACCCCAACAGCACAGACTATTGAAAATAATTAGCATTGACTCGCTTCAGTCAACAGTTAGATAATCACTGAAGGAAGTTGCTGCAGAGAGACCACTGGCTCAACACCAATGTAGTCAGAGCTCAGCCAATCAACTAACGTTTCTGAATCCTTCATGAGCAAGCATCCCCACTGAACTGGAGGTAAGTAATTTAGAGCTGTGAGAGCTGAATAAAAGCATGTGAGAGTGCATAGTACTGCTTATTAGTTTACTTCCTGCCTAGTCCCTCTCAAGCAAATTCTCACACTGGCTGTATAGACTAATCAGCAAAACAGTCACAAATATTACTTTACATTCCAAGCAAAATTTTTGCGTTCCTATGGACTCCTTTACTGTTTAGAAGATAGCGTGGATATCATAGTAAATTGCCTGATCGGCATATCCATTTATGACCAGCTGGAAGCAAAACTGTAGATAATTCCTTTATTTACCTATCAGAAGTGCTGCCATGCTCTGACTCAGCCATTCTCTTTCATAACTAGAAGACAAACTAGATGACACTGTGAGCTTATTTAAAACCACAAATTACTACATTTTGAAAGTGCACCTGGAAAGATGAATATGAAAAAGTTCCCTATGATGAGAATCTAGTCAGAAAAGAAGTAATTCTTAGTTTTTAAAAAAAGAGCCTTAAAAAAAATCTCATTACAACAATGAGATGTACAAGACGTTATGTCAAAAAATGAACTTTACAACTTTGGCGGGGTGGGGGGTGGGGGAGTGGGGGGATGGTGGTAGGGGAGTGTAGGGGAGAGGGGAAGGGATGGTAAGGAGAAACAAAGGAGGAGGCAACAATGTTTGATAAGAAATGTACTCACTATCGTGCCCATGTAATTGTAACACCTCTGTATTGTATTTTCACAATAAGAAAAAATTCCAATAAAGAAAATCTAAGTCCTAAAAAAAAATTATTGAGTCCTAATCTGCTTATGAGTATGGCCAATTCTGTGCCAATTCCACTGGGCCACAGTGCTGTCATCATTTGTTTGGTACAAGGTATCACTGATTTTTGGTTTGCTTGTACATCAAGTGAATCTCAGAGAGGCTCATCAGAAAGAGCCCAATTAGTGGGCTATACTAATGCATCCTTTGTTAATGTGCTCATAAAAATTATATTCTCAGCAGGAAGTGGGTAATCTGATTTTTTTAAAAGCTGGGAAATTCATATAGCCCAAACATGTTTAGAATATGTATGAGTTAAATTATAGAACATTTTATACTGCTTTTATAGCAAATAATCGGTAGTCTATTTAACCAATTATCAAACAACAGGCTATGTATTCTATACAGTTCACCATGAAGAGGATGATGCAATGAACCTAGAGAACAGTAAGCTTCAGAAGAGCCTTCATCTGTTCTTTTCTGAAAAGGTTTCTTCCCAATGTGTGGTGCTGGAAAGCCTCTCCTGTGTTCATACATAGCTGAGTTAGGCAGAGGTTCTGACCCCCACATGGTTAGTCATCTCTGGCAGCTCATTGGATCCAACTGAAGACTGGGATTTACCATCAATTAACAGATGAATGTAGGCACTCACGTGGTCTCTTGGTCTTAAATTCTTTTCTGCATGTTCTAGAAGGGAATCTTGCAACTTGTAAGCAAGACTCCTATTAGGTGCCTCACAGCAGCACAACACTGAGGCTGTTTACCCATAAAGGAAAAGTCGGAAGATAATGGTACAATGAAAGAATGAAAATCCAACTCTGTTCTGATACTGAGGTAACAACTGCAAGCCCCCTTCATGACCAAGCAGCCCCACTGAAGTGAAGGGGACAAGGTGACCTCAGTTGGCCAACTAGGTAGTGGCCTTAAAGATGAGGTAGCCTCAGAGCCTGAGCTCCACATTTTATCTTCTTATCAGGACTTCTGTGGAATGTAAAATGCCAAGCTTTTTCCACATTCTTCAAATGCGTGAGGCCAAGTATCCAGAAGGGCAAAATTCCTGCTCAAGGTAGAGAGCTCAGCATTATCAGTTGATAAAGCACATCTTAAAAGGCAAAAGCAGGCTCAGCTCAGAGTCCTGAAAGCCATCCTACTGTTGTGGAAACAAACAAAACCACAGAGAACTACTCATCTTTTAATCATCAAAATGACAAAGACCTCATTAGCAATGTCTGATATAATTTATTTAAAAAGTGATCACAGAACGAAGTACAAGGAAAAACATCATCATGTAGATGTGAATTAAATTTTAAAGTCTTCATGTATCGAAAATTATTTTTTATTTTCTTCATTTCTTTAAATCAGCATATATTATGGGAGGGATTTCACTGTGGCCATTTCCATACACATTTGCAATTGTATGCCAATCAATTTCACCCCCCCCAAAAAAAAAACTCCCTTTCTAGAACAATTGCAACAGATTTCACTGTTCTAATTTCATTGGTGCAAACAACCTCACTGTATTCATTACTCTCTATTCCTTCCGCTACATGCATTTTCTTTCACCCTTGTTAGTCAAGCCCCATCCCACTATTGTACAACTTCCGAAAGTCTGTTTCTCTTTCTGCCCCCGGGTCCTATTGATCAACAGCTTTCCTTGAGACACTTTATGCTGTTTTCATGTATAGCTCAAATCTATTCCAAAATTACTTACCTTGTTCTTTTGCCCATTCCCCTTCGCCTCGTAAGTAGCCTCTTTACGATTCATGTTCTATGTTTATTCATACGTATTTACATATGCAGGTATACATATACCTGTACATATATCCCTGAATATGTAGACCTTTTAGGTCTACTTCTTAGACCCAAAAGAATTGATTTTTTTAAGAACTGAATTTTAAAGATATGCTGTATTCATGAACTGCTTTGTTGTATGGCAACTCTTTTGTGCAACTCAAGAAATCTTTTTAAAAAAATTAACTGATTTTTAAATAGTGTATATTTTCTTATTTTCTAAGTTCTCTAAACACTAAGCCCAAAATTCCAAAAAATTCAACAATATTTTTTCTTCCTGGTTTCAGCATTTCAATTTTTTAGATACTTGTAGTTTCAATGTTATCTATGTTGAATCTATGAGCAACAAAGGCAGGTGAGCATTCTTAGCTAAAAGTAAGAACCTGCTACAAGTAAGAACCTTTTTCCCTCTGAGTCTGTTTCGGTGCTTCAACACCCATCTCCAATCCCTCATCTTCCAGTAAAGACACCTAACCTGCCTTTCATTAGAAGGGACCTTTTGCCTCTGAATTCATGTATCTTAAAATTGTTTATTACTCATTTAGCCTACAACATTGTTACTACCTGACACCACTGTGAGCTTTATTTCCAACATGGAATTTGACAGCACATTTCAAAATTTCAAAGGAAGCATGGTCAGCAATTTCTTGTCTGATAATTTTCCCCAAAGAAATAATAATTAGGGAAATGTTGTAAGATTCAGTAAGAAGGAAATATTTTTCAATTAAAGACCTGGAAACTCCCAAAGTTCAACTATTAAGGTTAAGTTGTAAAATTAAAAATGAGATACTACATAGTTACCACAAATAACCTTAAAGTTTTTACACAT